CAGGGCAGCACACTCCAGTACTCTTGCCTGGAAAATTTCATGGACGGAGGAGCCTGGTAGGCTACAGTCCATGGGGTCACAAAGAGTCAGACATGACTTTTCTAGAGATCTACTGCCAGGTGCCTTGGGAACCAGGGTAGTGAAGTGAAGTGTAAGGAAGTTTGCATAAACAGGAAGAGGAAGCTGAGAAAGGCTGGCTTATTGAGAGCAATGAGAAACATATCACCCTGTCAGCAGAGGAGACAGAATTTAAGAACGAGATAAAACGGTAGATGCAGTTCTCCTCCTGGGTGGGACTAATTAACAGGTGGACAAACGTCCCCGCAGGCAATAAAAGCGATAAGGTCCTCCACATGGCTAGTCCCAGGAACTAATCCATGTTCAATAATCTGAAGATGCCTATAGGTGGTTGTGTGAGTCAATTGCTTAGCCAACTGTTTTCAAAGGCGAGAGTGATATAGTCCATTTTAGAAATGGCTGGAGAAGCCATTTCATCTGTGAGCTTTTTATCTGTGAAGTGAGAATAACTCAACCTCACAGATAAAGATAAAAAAGGGAAAAGAAACCATAAAGTATTCTAAATATGACTGATTATTAGTGATTATTAGTTATTAGTGATGCCATCTCTGCAGGCTGTCCTATCATGAGGTCACATGGTCGGTGCTTTCTGCAGAGGGCAGGGTATTCAGGAAATTTTTCAGAGCAGGAATGAGGAAGGGCCTTTTCTTCAACAGTGAGTTTTCCTGTCAACAGATTTAATTTCAAAAGACATAGTGATTCACCTGCTACAACCACATCCATTACTAGGAATCCCTGCAGTGTGTATGTGGAGGAGGGGCCGGCGCAGCGTGAACTAACCTCTAACTGCAACACAGCAGTGAGCCAGTTCCATCCCTGGGCCGGGAAGATGCCCTGGAGGAGGAAATGGCAACCCACTCCAGTATTCTGGCCTGGAGAATCTTATGGACAGAGGAGCCTGGTGGACTAGAGTCCCTGGGGTCGCAGAGTTGGACACGACTGAGCACAGGGCGGCAGGGACCCAGCCAATGACCAGAGTGAGGCTGTGTCAGCATTTGTGTGTGAACATAGCATTTCCTCTGACCCAAAAGGCCCTCCCAGGTGGCGCCAGTGGTAAAGAATCCACCTGTGAATGCAGGAGACACGAGAAACACAGGATCAATCCCTGGGTCAGGAAGATCCCCGGAGAAGGAAATGCAACCCACTCCAGTGTTCTTGCCTGGAGGATCCCATGGACGGAGGAGCCTGGGTGGCTATAGTGCTTGGGATCATAACGAGTCGGCACGACGGAGCAGAGCAGAGCAGAAGTGGACCACAAACCCTAACATCAGCAGTTGAAGTCACCTGTATTTTTCTTATCACAATAGTGGCAATTATCTCGAGATGCTATTATGTTCATAGTTGATTTGACAGTGAATAGACATCTGAAGCAGGCTGATCCCATTCTTCTCATTAAGAAACACAAAGACCTGATTGATTTTGGGTCCCAGAACCAGAAGGTCAAGTAGCCTTTGGGTTAGGACCATGATTTTATGCTTTAGAGACACAGGAAAATCTGATCTTAGAAAGCAGCAGGCTCATCTCCTCACCAATCCCATCTTCAACTCAGAAAGCCAGACTTCCCCCTTCTGCCCTTGGAGTCCATGTAGGACACAGTTGAAGAGTTTTCATGCAGCCTGAGAAGCCCAATGGATTTAGGTTACATCTAGAGCCTCCCGCGGAGAAGGCAATGGCACCCCACTCCAGTACTCTTGCCTGGAAAATCCCATGGACGGAGGAACCTGGTAGGCTGCAGTCCACAGGGTCGCTACCAATCGAATACGACTGAGCGACTTCACTTTCACTTTTCACTTTCATGCATTGGAGAAGGAAATGGCAACCCACTCCAGTGTTCTTGCCTGGAGAATCCCAGGGACGGGGGAACCTGGTGGGCTGCCGTCTATAGGGTCGCAAAGAGTCGGACACGACTGAGGTGACTTAGCAGCAGCAGCAGGGCCTCCCAAGTGGCACTAGTAGTAAAGAATCCACCTGCCAATGAAGGAGATGCACAAGACATGAGTTCCATCCCTGGGTCGGGAAGATGCCCTGGAGGAGGAAATGGCAACCCACTCCAGTATTCTGACCTGGAGAATCTTATGGACAGAGGAGCCTGGCGGGCTACAGTCCATGGGGTCGCAGAGTTGGACACGACTGAGCACAGCACGGCAGAGACCCGCCAATGACCAGGGTGAGGCCGGGTCAGAGACCGGGAGGGAGGAAGGGGCAGATGGGCGCCTCTGTTGTCCCCTACAGAGCCTGCATGTGGTTGGTCTTGGTGTACACTTGGTCTTCCAGCTGCTGCTGAAACCCAAGGGTCTGTGAATCAAAACCAAAACAAGCAGCTAGGAGAACAGAAATAGGGCCCCAGCTGGCAAACGATCTCTAAATAGCATCTGATACATGCAAACACCTGCAAGAGTTCACTTCTCTCGATGGAAGCCCGAGCTCCCAGGAGCTGATCGTGGGAGGTCTAGGGGGCCCTGTGCCATGCCCATGTGTGCACCCACTGCGATGGTGATTTCCTGCTGACTCTCCTGTGCCTTCCTTTCCTTTGTTCCTGTCACACAGGACCTGACACAGAAAAGGCATTTTCTGTGAATGTAGAATAAGAAGGAGCCTACGTGCTGCTCCTCCTCCTCCTGTGTCTAAAGCAGGGCCCTTACGCTAGAGGTCCTTGGACCAAGGATCCATGGATTAAATTCAGGGGTTGTGTGCTTGGATGAGGGGGCAATGCATCTTTGCTTTTGTCGTTGTCGTTGTTCAGTCGTTCAGTTGTGTCTAGCTCTTGGCAACTCCAGTGACTGCAGCACGCCTGGCTTCCTGGCCCTTCACTCTCTCCTGTGGTTTGCTCAAGTCCATGTCCAGTGAGTTGGCGATGCTATCTAACCATCTCATCTCTAATTGCGATTTAGCATTTCTTCCTACTTAAATGTGGTCCACAAAGCCTAACACTGCCAGTTGAAATCACATATATTTTTCTTATCACAATCGTGGTTGTTTTCTTAAGATGTTATTATGCTCATCACTACCTTGAAATTCTATTGAGACCTGCCTCCACATTGCTATTTCACTTATCAATAAAGAAACGCATGATGTTGTCACAGTTGGAACGTTTGGAGAATTACACTTCAAAGTGTAAGCAGTGTCTCCTGCAATGTCATTTGTTGGATTTATTGTATGCATTAAAGCTCTTCCTGCCTCCCTTTCTGACATGTACAGCACACACGGTCACCCTCCCCACCCTTCTCTGCCCAGTCACTTGCTGCATGATGATGCAGACTGCAAGTGTTGACAGCTTATTACACACGCTAAGAAACTCTTCAACGCATGTGAAAAGCCAGTATAGGTAAACAGCATGCTAGCTGTTTAAAAGGGAGGAGGGTGTTAAGTGTAGCTGCATTTAGTGACTTGCTTCAAAGAACAAGTATGGAAAAGCAGAAAAAGTGACTTGATAGCAGAGACACCTAACAAACACGACCTCGGCCAGGTGATCAAGGTCAGCCTCATCCCTGTTAAATCATGTTGACCCATCACACTGACAGCACAAGGCGATGAGGGTGGCACTGAATGTCTGTGTTCTTCGTTCTAAAGACTCAGAATCCCAACTGAACTATGAGAAAATCATGCACGCAAACCTCAATCAAGGGTCCTTGTGCAAAATGCTCCACCAGGGCTTCTCAAAACCCTCAAGGTCATCAAAAGCAAGGAAAGTCTGAGAAATTCTTACAGACCAGAGGGAACAAAGGAGTCAGGATGACTAAACACAAGGTGGCATCTGGATGGGATCCTGACAATGGGAAAAAATGGTGAAATCCCAAGAAAGTATGGAGTTTAGTTAATAATAATAGATCAGTGTTGATTTGTTTGTTGTGACCAATGAACCATAGTGACAAGAGATGCTAGTAACAACAGGGGCACCTGGGATGGAGTATATGGAAACTCTCTGTACTATCTTTGCAACTGTTTGATAATTGTTTAAAAATTTTTACATTTTGGCCACACAGCACAGCTTATGGGATCTTAGTTCCCTGACCAGGGATTGAACTCATGCCCCCGGCATTGGAAGTGCAGAGTATTGACCACTGAATCACCAGGGAAGTCCTCTGTGTTATAAATTTTAACCTAATCCTAAATAAAAATGGGAGATTGTAGTGAAACCTGTTATATTTATATATATACTTAAATACAAGAGCAAGAAGCATTACAGGATTATCACTGGGTGGTTTTTTCACACACTTTCCTATAATAAAAATAAAATGTAAAAAAAAACACAGCTGTTTCCTTCTTAATTATAGATTGAAAAGCTTGATTCCTTTGTCACTGTGTTATTTGGCTACTAAAGTGCCTGAAACGGGGCTGGTCTGAATTGAGATGTACTGTGATGTAAAATGAGTTTCCCAGGGGGCTCAGCGATAAAGAATCCACCTATCAAAGCAGGAGCTGCAGGAGACCTGGATTCGATCCCTGGGTGGGGAAAATCCCCTGGAGGAGGAAATAGCAACCCACTCCAGTAATCTTGCCTGGGAAATCCCATGGACAGAGGAGCCTGGTGGGGTAAAGTCCACAGGGTCGCGAAGAGTCGAATACATCTGAGCACCGACATGAATGAATGTGATGCAAATACACCTTGGACTTCTCAGTAGGAAGAGAAGAATGCAAGGCACCTCAGTAATTGTTATATTGATTCTATGTTAAAATGTTAATATTTTGGATATGCTGAGTTACATGCATTATTAAAATTCATTTCACTTGTCTCTTTCTACCTTTTTTAATGTGACTACTTGAAGATGTGAAGTTACATCGGTGGTTCCCATTGTATTTTACTGGACAGTGATGCTCTGAAGAATTCCAAAGGTGAGGGGCATGTGGGCAGGAAGCCCCAGGTAAGGAAAGACCCATCTCAATGGATGATCTCTCAGGTAGGGGAGAAAGACACAAGCCAGTGCAAAGTTACAAATTTATTGATCTGGAAATAAATACAAATATCTCATTAAGAAACTCCTCTGGAAAGACTTGTACATAACAGCTTCTTGTTCTGATTCAGCCATTTCTGCCTCCCAGGTGGTAGGTGACAGGTAAACTGAGTCATAACCCCCCAAGCTACCTAGAAAGCTTGACTACTTCCTCCCAGTAACCACTAGGCCCCAGCGGCTGATGCACGCTGCTCCATTCATTCTGATCAAAACTTCCTATACAAAGATCCATGGTTAGCCAGAGTGAGATCGAAAGGCAGTAAGTAGTATAGGAACTTGACAGCTATGTTGACGTTGCCCAGAAATGTCAGTGGTGCCACCCTGTTCAGGGAGAAGTTAGAGGGGGCAGGGAGAGAGAAGGGAATCCCATGGAATACACATTTCAGACTCCATGCATCTTCTGGGCCACCACTCCCCACGTAAATCCCACCCCCTAGCTGCAGACCCTGGAAGGTCACCAGGTCAGAAACCTTTGGCAGTCAAGTTCAGATTCACCCACCCCGTTGTCAAAGACTAGAAGCAGGATTTAACTTAATCACACATAATTCCTGGGAACCAGACGGGATCGACTGAAATCACAACTGCACTGAATTCCATCACAACCACAAGGAATTCCTTACATCTAATCACCAAAAATACCACCCCACCCCAACGCCCCCGCGCCGGTGCTGCCTGGAGACATATCACAGCCAGGCCCAGCTGTTTGCAATCTTTCCATTTCAGAGAAAACGACTACAAATCTATGCACTCTTCCCCATGAATGAAATCACCACTGGTTCATGTATTAGGGGTGGGAAGTAAGGGCGATGGTGGGGGAGGCAGGCAGCTGATTCAAAGCCTTAAACACACATACCAAACTCCTGCCAAGACCGTTTCTTTGAAAAACTGGAAGATGTTGTTACCTACTTCTGTTGTCCATTAAAAAATGCCAGGAAAACAGGCTTGTAGGCATCAACCATAAAAAGTGTATATATGCACAAACGTTGAAAAAAAATCTATTTCTTCAAGTTAACTATGGAGATTTGCTTTTTCCAAATACTTCGGAGCCTCTGCGTCAATTCCACCTCTCTCCCTGCTTCCTGTTTGGCCTTTTTTTTAAAAAGAGCTCCCCATTACTCCCTACTCTCCCCCTCCCCATTCAGAAAGGGCTTGGTTTCCAGAATATGGGTCTGTTTTTTCTTTAGTTGGAGAGGAAACAGGAAGTAGGCAGGCTGGGCTTCCAACAAGGTGTCCCTTTGCGCCAGGATGCTCCGGCCAGGCGAGCCTTGGATGGATCGAGTGTCTACTTTGCGCTGGTTTCTGGCAGTTTGGCGTCTCCAAAGGAGGGTAGGAGGGTGGCCTCTCAGCCCCTTGTTTGGGGGGAACACTGAGGTGCATCTTTCCCTTTGGTCCACCCCGCCCTGCCCTCCTGGGAAAGGGCGACCCCACAAACACCCAATCTCACTGTGTCATCACCAGAGCTCACTTGTACAAAATAAGCTTTGGATTAATACCGAGTTACGAGTTAACGTGCGGTTGGCAGGCAGGGGTGGGGAGGGGGGCCGGAGGAGGGGCAGCTACAGCAATCGGTCCCAGAGTCCAGGGGCTGCCGGCCGGCCCCGAGGCCGCCTAGCAGGACACCTCCGTGGAGTTGGGCCCGGCGCTGCTCCCGGGGCCGCCGGAGTTGGGGATGATGTCCAGCCGTGTGCCCTCGCTGGTGTGTGAGCGGCTGCGGGCACCCTCACTGGTGTGTGAGCGGCTGCGGGCGCCCTCCAGGGACGTGACACTGGAGCCTGAGGCTGTGCGAGACCTCATCAAGCGGGTCATGCTGGCGGAGGGCACTGGGGAGAGAGGAGAGAGCCCGGTGAGAGGGTGGGCGAAGGCTGGAGGCGCTCGCACCTCGGCGACACAGCCTGCCGTGTGCCCCGCCTGCCCGGGGAACCTTTGCTCCTGTCCGTCCTCAAGGCCATCCAGCCGCTGGCCCCCCCATCATTTCCGTACCCACTCGCAGAGGTGAAGAGCCAGGCTCAGGCTGGGTGAGGACTGACGGGTCCCACCCTGGCATGAACCCACCGACTGGGTCTCGATCGCAGCTGTCTGCTACTCGCTTACCAGCTGTGGGACTCTAGGAGCGTTCTTCTCTGAGACCCCGTCCCCACGTGTAAAATCAGAATCCTACCATGGACCCCTGCGTATCAGTGCCCTAGTGTGTGCCCACCACCCTGTAACATCAACAGTCTCTACAGTCAGGAGGATGTTCATAGTTGGCCTGGCTAATCCCTGCATGCCACAGGCTGGAAACCGAAGCCACACAGAGCAGTCAGCTGTCACCACTTCCTGCGGGCAACCTGTGAGCTCCCAGAAACTGTTAACATCACCGTCCATTCCGAAGGACTTAAAATACCCTTAAACACGGCAGGTGGCTGAGAAGGTGGAATGAAGAACCCCACTTGTACTGGTTAAAGAGCACCCTCCCAAGTTCAAGAGCACCAGAATCTCTGACTATAACCTTATTTGGAAATAGGGTCTTTGCAGATCTATCTAGATAAGAGGAGTTCATCCTTGGTTAGGGTGAGCGCTAACGCAATGGCTGGTTTCCTCCTAAGAGGAGGAGACAGATGCACTCCCAGGGAGCAGCCGTGTGAAGACAGGGCAGAGGTCAGAGTGATGTGGCCACAAGCCAAGGGCTGCTGTCAACCACCAGAAGCTGGAACGAGGGAAAGAAGGATTCTTCTTAGAATCCTTACAGGGAGCATGACCCTGCCTACATCTTGAATTTGGACTTCTAGACTCTAAAACTGTAGTACTGTGAGAGAATAAATTTCTGTCGTTTTAAGCCATGCAGTGTGTGATTTGTTATGGCCACCCTAGGAAACTACTCCATCAGCCAATTGAAGCCTCTTCGTCAAGATCACATTGAATAATAGATGCCACACACCGAGGCAGTGATAGGTACACATGTAAGGAGGGGTTATGTTATTGGTTCAGCAGGCATATGTGTTGGCTTTCCGCCACAGACACCAACAAACAGAATTCATCCTTGCATACTGAATCTTCTTAAAGAGCTAGCTCCTGAATCCAGGAAAAAACCGGGATCGATTCCACACCTGTTGCTCACATATTTTCTGAGCCCTCTGTTCCTTGATTCCACACCTGGGGTCTTACTGATGCTGCAGGGTTCTGGTGACCCTAGCATGGAGTCATGGATGCTAAGGGCTCATTACACTGGCCCACAGCTGTGAGCAGGCACTCGGGAAATAAGCGATTCCTTTCCTTGTCTTTGGTGGATGCCTCTAGCTCTTTCTGTCATCTTTCCCTATGATCTGCAGGCTGCTTTCTGGAAATAGAAGCCAACGTAGCAGGTGGGGGGAAACAAGGCTGGCCTCCCACTTCCTTTCTCCCCAGAATGCACTTTCAAAGCAGAAATCCAAACCCATGGCAGGTTCAAGACAAATGAGTTCCAATTCATGCCTGAAAGGTAAACAAAGCCCTTCTTGAGTTACTGCCTTTGCTGTGCACTTTCCCAGAGGGGCGAAGACCCCCACGCAGATGTTTTCTTTTGGAAGAGGGCACTTTGGGACATGAATCCTGCCCAGAGCATGAAAATCAGGCTCTCCTGCTCTCAGCTGTGCTAGAAACTAAATGTGGCTGAGGCCAATCTGAAGACTGCGGTCAGTAGACCAAACACAACATTACTATTTTAAATGAGCAAACAGTTTAAGCCTCAGGAAAATAAAGAAAAAAAAAAAAAGGAAGTGACTAGACATTCAGACTTCTTAATTAAGATGGGCACTCAAATTAGAAATCCAGGCAGCAGAGAGAGAAAGCAAAACCAACCACATCGGGGCTGAAACCGTGGCTGACACACCAACGTATACAACGGTGGATGCTGCCCGGGAGTGTGCTCGAACTTGGAGTTGCCTGTCCCGGTCATGGGACTGCACTGCTGAAAAGGGGCTGTGTGTGTCTGTGAATGAACTGGAACCATAACGCAAGAAGCTGCAGGTTCTTTAGTTGTGCTGCTATTTATCCTTCAATTCTCAAATCTAATGATTTAGCAGACATGTTCTGCCTTGAATATAAGTGCCTTGATCACCCATTTGCTCGGAGCTTTGCAGTTTTCGAAGAACTTTCACAGATCCCTACTCTGCTTCTTGCTTAATTTCTCAAAGCCTCAGTTTCATCGTTTGTAAAATGAGGACAAGAGTATCTCCTAGGATTACTGTGATCATTAAATGAGAAAAAAAAGGACTTAATGATTTTTCATCACACCCAGCACCATCCTCACCCCACCACCATCATCATCACTTCCAGCACCATTACCATCACCACCATCACTCCCAACACCACCACCATTATCATCACCACCATCCATCCTCACGTCACCAGCACCACCACCAACATGACCACCATTACCTTCTTCACTACAAGTCTCTTAGGGAAGCATGTAATCAAAATTAAAAAAGATTTTCATGGTTTCATGGGTTATTGGCTTCTTGGTTCTCAGAGGGCTAGTCCTCACCCATGCTTTAAAACATTCCCTGGTGTGAAACAGCTTCTGTTCAACAACGGAGGGAGAATGAGCCACTACGGCGTGAGGAGAGACACTGGAAGCTCTGCACTTCAGCCCGCCCTCCACGCACCTAAATATTTCTTCCCTGACATGCCCGGCGTGCAGAACACTAAAGCTGCCCACAGTGACACAGAATCCTCGGCCCAATCCGTTTCCAGTGTCCACCGCTGCCCCTCGGCCCACCCCCTGCTGGGAAAGGCCATACTCACTGTATCCCATGCCCTGCACGAAGTACTTGAAGGCCTCGGCCAGCTTGGCAGGCTGCAAGAGAAAAGAGCAGAAGTGCAGTCAGTCACCGGAGGTCCGGATCATTCATGGCCACGGGGAGCCAGGCCTGTGGTCGCCTTCATTAAAGAGCTTGGCAAAAGACAGAAGGCCACCACGTGTTGATAGGACAAAAATACAAAAGGAAAGCAAAGAATGGGATGATTATGAAGAGCAAAGTTAGCTTTGGTCAGGAAGAAAAAGTTCAAATTCACTACATAGCTGGGGGAGCTTTGTCAAGTTACATGACCAGTCTGAGCCAGCTTTCTCACCTATATAATATGGGCAGACTGCTACACCTGCAACTGAGGATTTCTGGGAAGAATACATCACTGGATAAACTGATGTGTCCAGCTCAGCATCTGGAATGTAACGGCCATTCACTGTGCTAAGGGCTTTGCAGCACTCTCTCATCTTCTCCCAACAATGACTTTACGAGGTCAGTATCGTCTTCATATACATTTCATAGCTGAACAGATTTGGAGAGATAAGCAATCTATCCAAAGTCTTCTGTTAATTAGTGGGCCTGCACATTAACCCAGGGTTTTCCAAATCCCATAGCAGCTTACTCTCACCCCAGTAGGAGGCAGGCTGGTAGCTGGCTGGATGAAAGGATGGTGGATAACTGGATAGATGAAAATGAAAAAAGGTGGATGGAAAGAAGGAAGGAAGATGGATAGATGAATAAAAGAAGGATGGATTGTCTTAAAAAAGGAAGGATGCAAGGATGAAAGGAAAGGAAAAATGGAAACAGAGAAGGATAGGATGAGAGGATGGATGGATGGATAGATGCATGGATGAACAGACAAAACTCTTAATCAACTGGGCTACTTTAAATGAGTTGGGAGTGTTGCAAACATACTCAGTTTGACCAATTACTCTCAAATTTTTACCTAAACCATGAGGTGAATGTTTGGGTAAAGGTCATATTTGAAGGCTAATTAATTCCAACTCTCAAATGTAATGTCCTGGGTCTATTCTCACAGCCTTTCACTTCACTGGTGAGCTATCATCAGAGTGGCCTTGCCCACCTCCATGAATAACTGCTGCTGCTCTCAAAGAGCCAGGTGACATTCAAAGAAGAGTCTGCGCTGAAAGTGCCCTCTAGGAGTCACGGGATGATAAGATAAGAACAAGAGTTGCAAGTTGGAGCTGCAGAAAGCCAAGGGCATCTGTGTTCAACATGGTGGACAGAAACAAGAGGATGGGCTTGGAAGTGAGATCTTGGCCCAAACTCAGCTCCCCTGTGTGCCCACAGGCAATCTCTGCCATCTGATAGCCTCAATTCCCCTTCTGTGGCTGCGGTAGAAGGCACATTCTTCCTCCCTCTAAAGCTTATTGCAGGGATTGAATGGAATGAAGGATGGGAATGCCCCTTGTAAACACATTCAACTTGCAAGAGCAGGAGAAGACAGGGTTACAGAGCCACAGGTTCTCGTTGGGCTGCTCTCCTGAGGGGCTGGGCTAGTTCAGCTCCTGCCATGACATTTAAAATGTGTTTTGGGACTTCCCTGGTGGTCCAGTGGTTAGGACTCTGTGCTTCCATTGCAGGAGCCACAGGTTTGATCCCTGGTTGGGGAACTAAGATCTCACACCAAAACAAAATAAAGAGTGCTTTAATTATGGCTAGGGTCAGAGTCTTCTCATTTCAAATAGAGAAAGGAATAAAGGAGGGAGAGAGGAAAGAATAGCAGTGCCCCCTCTCTCCAGCCAGCTTAAGTTGCACTGTCTCAGCAGGGCGTCTAGCAGGCTGTGGGGGTAAGACCATCACTAGTGTGCAACTGTTAAATCACATTTACATCTTAGCAGGCTCGACTGGCGGCCCATCTGTTCCCTCTGAAACTGGACCATCCCATCCTCCTCTGGCTACTCCCAGCTAGTAAACAGGCAAACCCAACAGCAGACACGAACTTGAAAACACTTTGCTCTTTGCCAGTAGAAACAGAGAGGGACACAGGAAAGGGAAGCTAAGAGAGCCACCCAAGGCCACGTGTGCCTGATTACTGCTGTTTGCACACATACACACATACACGCACACACATGTACATGAACACACACGTGTGTGCACACACACGTGCATGCACAGACACACATACATACATGCACGCACACATGCACACAGAGACACACACATACACATGCACACATAGACACATGTGTGCACACATACACATGTGCACGCAGAGACACACATATACACATATACATGCACACAGACACACACACACACACAAATGCACACATAGACACACATACACATGTGTGCACACACACATACACATGTGCACGCAGAGACACACATATACACATATACATGCACACAGACACACACACACACACAAATGCACACATAGACACACATACACATGTGTGCACACACACATACACATGTGCACGCACAGAGACATACACATACATATATACATGCACACACAGACACACATCGACACATGTGTGCACACGCACATACACATGTGCACACACAGAGACATACATATACACATATACATGCACACACATGTGCACACACATATGTACACATACACATGCATGTACACATAGACACACATGTGCATGCACAACATTTTCATGTACAGACACATGCGTGCACACACATATATGTGCACATGTATATGCACACATGCAGATGCATATATACACGTGGGTGCACACAGACACACACATACATATACACATGTGGATGAACACACACACACACACACACACACACACACACTTTGGCCCATCTCCTCTCTCTGCTCCTTGCTCTGGCCTTGGGCTCCAGGAGCCCGTGGCTGCAGCCTTTGGTCTTTGGGGTCAGGCACACCTAGATTCTGGTCCGTGACTGCCAAGCTGTGTCCGCTCAGCAAATCCCTTCCCGCCTTGAACCCAGTGTCATTTGCTCCACAGGGGCTCCTGCAGGAGGATCTGATATGTCCTGACGTGCAAGCATGTTTACAAACGGTAACAGGTCCACAGCGTGTCATCAGATGTCACAGTGTGGGGGGTGAGGAGCAGGCAGTGAGGGAAAAGGGGGTAACAGGTCCCAGAGGCCCACGCCTTCCATCTGGGGAGTGGAGATAGGTGTGACTCACCTGAGAGATCTGTGGGAGGCCACCGCAATCTGCCATCTAGAGGAGAGAGGGAAGACAGTTAGTGCAAGGCCTCTGCAGAGGGCAAGCTGACTCTGTGGACTGGCTGCATGTGGGCATCCACTGTGCCCACTGCCCTACCCCGGGTCCTTCCCTGTGAGGGGGCCTGGGTACATTACGGGTGGGGAAACCCCCACCTCACTCAGCTAGGCTGCTTTGATTATTATCCATGTTGACAATGAACTCTGCCTTCTTGGGAACCATTGCAGCTTATGACAGGCCAGGCGCTGTGTTAGGCCCTGTAGGTGGTTTTGCTCTGCCCTTCAAGAACCCTGGACGGGATAGTTGTTCCACTTTAGATGCAGAAACTGAGCCAGAGAGAATTGGAAGAACTTGCAAAGGTCCAACCAGGGTCTGTCTGACCAGAAAACATTCACTGCATGAGGCCCCATACACATGATCTCTTTTCAGACCCTTTGGAAGGAAAATGCAACATTCAAGCCTTCAGGTCTGATGAGGCTCCTGGTTGGCCAACCTCAGTAAATGTTGTCACTTCTGAAGGTCCTATCAAATCACCAAATCAAAAACCATCACTGCTTAAAGCCATTTCAGGCACGTGTGAAGATTTATCCAAAGCCTAGGGCTCTGGAGCACTTGGGCAGGGAAATGAGGATGGGGTGAGGATGGGGAAACAGAGCTGGAAGGTCTCGGTGAGAGTGAGTGAAGCTGTGGCCAGCCTACGGTCCAGGTTCAAGGTCAAGGTCAGCTAACCCGGGGAGGTCCTCAGCCTAATGAGGATGTAGTGACAAGACAAGGGAACTGAGCTCCAGGAGCCCATGAAGCAGGGCAGTGGGCTTCTGTAGTGGGCAGAGTCTGTCTAGAATCAGGCCCCGCCCACACGGTTCCTGTCCATCACTCTCCAGAGCACCATGGCCAGCAGCCCATAAGCTCCTGGAGTCCCATACATAGATCCCTTTATCTGTGCAGTCTTGGGTTACCAGCCAGCACTCAGTAGATGTTTTGAACAGACAGTCATCATTTCTGTGGTTTCTGACCACCAGTTATACTATAATCAGGCACAACTCAATTCTGCAGAAAATTTAGGGGTTTCTAAGAAAGAATAAATGCAACCCCTCATCGTTTTCCCTGTACCTTGAGGAGAGTGGTCTTCGTTGGGTCCAGTTTCGAGTTGCACTCCACCTGGATGGGAAGAGGGAGAAGAAATTTCTAATTTTCTACCTGGCACCAAAGTCATAAACTTTCCTCCTCCCTGCCAGTCTGCTACCCTCATCAGAAATTCCAATATTCCTACTGGCATGGAAGAAAGACCACAGGAAGAAAGAACACTAAATAGATGGCTTTAAATTCTAGCCCTGCTGTCATGAGCTGTGTGATCTTGGACAAGTTACTTAACTTCTCTGAGCCTCAGTTTCCTCATCAATAAAATAAAGATAGTATCTTTTTCAAAGGGTTGTGATGAAGATTAGCTAAAATGTAGAAGGTGCTACAGAAACAGTTGCTAAATAAACGGGCTTCTTAAGCTAGCTGCTGCCAGCGATTCTTCAGATTCAACATCCCCAGTCCTGACAATTATTTTCCACAGGAAACCGCATTCACCAAACTGGTTACTTTCTTCAATTTCTCAGTGACCCTCTTAAAAGTGTATCCAGAAGTGGGCAAAATCCTCACTTGTGATATCCAGAGTGCCTAAAGTAGAATCATCACCTCTCTTAATGTAAGCAATGTATCTTTACTGATACATCCTACAGTTATGTCCAGTGGACTTAAGGTTAAGTGTTAGTTGCTCGTTGTGTCTGACTCTTTGCGACCCCATGGACTATAGCCCTCCAGGCTCCTCTGTCCATGGAATTCTATAGGCAAGAATACTGGAGTGGGTTGCCATTTACAGTGGACTAGACTGAAATAAATTCATGGTTCATTTGGATACCCCCGGTCTTTGCTAAACGAACATTTGCAGACCTTGCGTTAGCTCACCTCACAAAGAACATCACCACTCTATACTCTTCCCAAGAGCCCCAAGTCTCCCATGTCCCCAGCTATAGTAATGTTGGGAAGACGGAGTCCTTGTTTTACCTTCACAACATCACAGGTGGGAATTAAGGGGTGAAATGAGCCAGAAAGCCTTTCCTAAGCTCTGCTCCCAGGTACCTCTCTGCCCTGCCAGATGATAAGGCTCCAACCAGGTCTGAAAGTGCCACCTGACTCCCAAATGGGCAGAGTCTCCTGGCCAGGAATTCGAGTGGCAACATGCCTGTATAAACAAGCCAGTGGGAGGCAGCTCGGCAGGTGAGGGTTAGAGTTAGAAGGCCCACTGCCAAGTAACTATGGCTGGCAGTCACCAGGGAAGGAGGCTGGTGGCTGGGCCCTCTGCCCAAAGTCAAATATGGCATCTAGAAGATGTCACTTGCCCTGATGGGAGCAGAGGAGGGGAAGAGGGTGGACAGGGAGACTTCATACAAAGTCAATCAGATCTGGACCATCGATTTAAGCATAGAAGCTAGTGGTGATTTTTACATACCACAGCGTCCACAGCAGGAGAACTGTCCCCAACCACCAACAAAGCAGGGCACCTGGGGGCAGGGAGAGGTGGGGAGTTAGGTTCATTTAAAGATTCTCATGCTCCTAGCCCTGCCAGGGTGGGACCAGAATTCTTTAAAAAAAAAGGAAAGAAATTATTTTGTTTTCCCCCGTACTCTTTGCTCTTTTACTGTCTACTTTCTCCATCCTCTACTTTGGGATAAAACGGGTAAGTAGTCATTTACACCCTAGTATGAATTTCAGCCAGAGAATTTCTATGCCCTGATATTTTATTTTCAAGTACTCCTCAAGGAAGGATGAGTAGGACTTTGCCAGTCATCAAAAACAGAGACAAAAAGGACACACCTAATTAAGGAAATTGCCTGTGCCAAATTCAGGTGTCAAATAATATGGTTCATGTAAGGAACTATAATAAGACATAGTCATTACTGGTGGAATCCAGTTGGTCATACCCACGACTGTCTTTTCCTTCTAGTTTTATAAAACACTTCAAGGTGGGTCCTGTGCCTTATTTGTCTCCAGACTCTGTGAAGCAGAGCCTCAAACAGTTGGGCATAGAGTAGGTGTTTCATAAATTCTGTCGGGTATGGTTATTCATGCCTTGTTTGAGATCTGAGGTCCCCCCAACCCTAGGTCTCAGGGACGCCCTACAAACCAAACTCCTGCACAAGGAGAAGATGAGTGAGGCTGGATCATGCCCAGTCCTTGGGGAGAGTCCACCCAGGTCTTGCCCACTGAGCTGTCTGGCACCAGGCAGGCAGTCCTGCCAAGCTCAGGACTAAGATGCTGCCGGGACTGGCCAGCAAAGCTGAAGAGACAGTGCCGGGGGAATGGCAACTCACTGCAGGGTGACCGTGTGGGCTCCAGGCATTGGCCGCTCGATCTCCAGGTCCCGCCGGCTGCAGACAAACAACAAACAGATGCACCGTTATAACAGCTCACCCTCCGCTGGAGGAAGCCCCCTTCCACCCAGGCAACCCCAGGAGTCCTGCACTGGCCACTCTGGCAAACAGCCACCCACATCCCAAGCTATGTGGGGTCCCACCCCAGCCTCTCTGGGTCCATAGAGGTGGCTTCAGAGACAGCAGGACTCAAACATTTCCTGTAGACTCCACCTTATTGTCCTCTGGTTTTTCTTTTTCCTTTCATGTACCAATCACATCCTTCTGTGGAGGCTTCCTCTTTCCCACCTGTCCCCTAAGCCACAGCCTTCACCTCCCAAATGCTGTCCAGCCTCTTCTCTTAATCTCATTCTTACTCTTGCACCTAACTCAGAGTCCTCTACATATTAACCAAACCATCTCTTTAGAACTCAGACCTGATCCTTTCACTCCCTCCTTTTAAAGCCTCACTGTATGGATGGCCACCAGCCTCTTCCCGCCTGGCACCTCCCAGTATGAGACACCTTTCCCAGCCCACAGCCCGGAGCCAGTCTGGCTGGATTCAAATCAGGCTCCTCTGCTCACTAGCTGTGTGACCTCGGGCAGGGTGCTGAACCTCTCTGGGCCTTCGCTTCCTCAGCAGGAAATGCTGATGAGAGCGCCCTCATCATGGCATCAGCTCTTTCCTGCAGCCCATGGGGCTGCGGGGGGCTGCTGTTGGTCTCCTCAGTGCCCCCCGCCCAGCCAAAAGCCTGCCCACTCCAGTCCTCACCAGTGTTTGCTGAATGAATGGGTGCTCAGCCTCCGCATCTGCAGCTACTCGCTGCGAGTATTGCCTGTCCCTCCATCACCGAGAGGCCGGGAGGAAGGTGGGTGGGGAGAGACATGAATGCCCTCCGTGCAGTTGAGCTGCTAACATGTGAGAAGACACACAGCCCAGCAGGCTCAGGCCTGACCCCTCCGTGGAGCTGCAGGCTGCGTTTCCCGGGATTCTAGAACCCCTGACCGACAGCAGCGGCCCTGAGCTGTCTGCTTCCCTAGCTGAGCCCCAGACTGTCACCCAGGTATGCTCAAGAGGGCTGTATCCTTGCCAAAAGCCAGGCTCAGTTGCTCCTTGCCCTGGGAATGAGTCTCTCACCTCCCAGTAGCCTTTCTGGACTCCTCTCCACGTCCCTCTCGGCTCTCCCCACATCTGGTCCTTCTTAGGGTAAGCCTCGGCACAGGCACACGTGTAAATCCATGGGCAAGCTATTTGCCACGTGACTGTTCCCACTCATGTTTGCACCCCTGATGATCTGGAGTGGAGTTAAGCTCCTTGAGAAGTACACGTGTGCTCACTCAGTCGAGTCTGACTCTTTGCAACCCCATGGACTGTAGCCCACCAGGCTCCTCTGTCCATGGGATTCTCCAGGCAGGAATATTGGAGTGGGTTGCCATTTCCTACTCCAAGGGATTGTCCCAACCCAGGGATCAAACCCACATCTACTGTGTCTCCTGCGCTGGCAAGGTGGATTCTATACCACTGTACCATCTGGGAAGCCCTCTTGCAAAGGATCAATACTCAAAACTCCGGGAGGCACCTGACTTCCCAGGGCCCTTCCTGGGCACCCTTGTTCTGCTCATCTATTTGCTCCAGAGCTGCATCTTATATTAACTTTATGTTCTCCCCTCCCTTGCCCCATCTTAGTTCCGGACCCACAAAAGCAGCCATCGTGTGACCGAGCAGCGCTGGGTACCTGTTGTAGGCGTTGATGAACAGGTGCAGATTGCCAGGGTTCATGTCATTCACGATGTGGTGGCGGTAGGTGTGGACCACCTCCACGTTATTCTGCATTTCCTCCTGCAGAGAGAGAGGAGAATGTCGTTTGTGGGAACTAAGGCGCTGGCTGGTCACTACCCTCTCCACTCTTCGGCTTATTCGGGTACAAAGTGAAAACAGTAATGCCTAATCCACAGGGCTGCTATGGGCCCGAGGGAACCCTTGGGAAAGCAGAAGCTGTACCCGGAAGCAGACTGATGTCTAAATGTCAGATCGCTATGAGGAGAGCAATCGCAAAGCTGGAGAGGCAAGCATGCCTTTCTGGGCTCAGACTTTGGAAGTTCTGATCTGAATGCAGTCCTTCTGGATCTGAACTTGGCTCCATCACTGTCCTTTTATTATACAAGTGTTTTACCTCTCTGAGCCTCAGTTTCCTTTAAAGAAAGAGAGTGGGAGTGACATCACCTACTTCATAAAATCGTAGAATTTAATAAAGGTTGGGCTGTCTAGGAAGCCCATTGTAAACACCGATGCGACTTTAGCAATTATTATTAATTTCTTTTTAATGGAAATAGATGAAAAGAAGTTTTTCATGTTTGCAAAACAAAACCAACCCATGCAATGGGAAGTTGCCGGAAAGAAGCTCAATCTTGATTCCCAGGAGGGCCAACCAGATCTTTGCAGAAGGCCGGCCTCAGCCTTCTCTCTCCCTGGTTCCTTTCTGAATGTGATTTGAGACAAACAAGTTATGAGCTTGTTCTGTTTCTCATTTGTACAACAGAGGATGCTGCAATTTCATGAAAGGGCCTGATGTAATTGACGACAACCAGATCAAGAGTGGGAGGGAGCAAAGGGGACAGTGTCGGCCGAGAGCTGTGTCAAGACAGTCCACGAGTACTAAAGCAACAGGGACCAACTAGCTGTTCTCCCAGGAAAAATCAGGAAAGTCACACTCTGAGGAATTGTGCTGGGGTTACAGATCAAAACAACTGCAGTGAGTTGGGGGCACCAACAGACACCCCAAGTAATTTCAGGTACAGTCAGGCAAAGTTCTCACTCTATACTTGACACCCCCGCCTTCCAAGAAAATGAAGGCATTGGCTCTGATTTTTCCTATATTCCTACGAGGTTCACATTATACACTCAGGGTGGAGAAAATGTAATGGAAACTGAAACATAAAAAAAGAGGACTCTGGCGGGCTGAAAGGTTGTCCCAATGATATGTTCACATCACATTCCTGGACCTTGTGAAGTTAACTTATTTGGAAATAAAGGTCTTTGCAAATGTAATTAAGTTAAGGATCCAGAGATGAGGTCATCTTGCATTATCCCGGTAGGTTCTAAATCCAGAGACTTAGAACCAGGGTCCTTGTAAGAGAAAAGCAAAGGGAGATTTGAAACAGATATAGAGAAAGGTGTGCAAAAATGGAGGCAGAGACTGGAGTGAGGAACCACCCCTGAAGGGATGCTGAGGCTACCGAAAGCCAGAAGAAGCAAGGAAGAACCTTTCCCTAGTCCCATTGGAGGACTGTGGCCCGGCCGACACTTGATTTCAGACTCCTGGCCTCCAGAAGTGAGAGAGAATATATGCCTGTTGCTTTAAGATACCCAGCTTGTGGAACTTTGTTATAGCAGCCACAGAAAACGAACATGAGGACAATGCACGCTACAGCGACCCAACAAACACCTGCCTCCCTGGGTGTCATATGGTCATACTCTCCAGCTGCGGAGCAAGCAGTGGTGTGTAAGCCACACACAGGGAACAGAACACATTGCCGCAAGCTGGACGGGCAATGAGGGGCAGTTCAGACCCACATCAGGACCCTCTCTCACATCCTCCAGCTCAGCAGGAGATACATAGCCAGAGTCAGGGGCCACGCTGGCCAGGGGACAGGGTAGAACCACGCACCATTCCCGTGTCACCAGAGGCTTGGCTCAGACCAGCCGCAGTGGGGGCACCCGCACAGCCCATCTGAGACCGAGGTACCAGCAGGGGCACAGGTGGCCAGCATCCTGCCTCGGGTGCGGGAGCGCACGCTGGAGCCAGACTCATAGGCGCCAACCTCAGCCCCTCTCGCTGGCTGTGTGACCTCACACAGGTCACTCAACCTCTCTGGCCTCAGTTTCCTCATCCACCACTGGAGGATATATACATATATATATATAAATATATATCCATAACTGGGAATAAAAATTCTTTCTTACACGGATCACAGAGTCCCTTAGGACTGAGGCTGACACACTCCACAGATGTGCTTGCTGTTGGCTTTGTCATAGCCCAGAGCTGAAAAGACCCCAACGTCCATCAATAGGTGAATGGAGAAGCAACCTCTGGTCCATCCACACCACGCAACACCACTCAGCATGACAAAGGGATGAACTCTCAATATGCCCATCAACACAGATGGATTGCAAAATAATTATGTGGACTGAAAGGAGCTAGATTGAAAAATTAAGGAGCCCATACTGCATGATGCTGTTTACATAGAACTCTAGGGAATGCTGGCGAATCTGCAGTGACCCAGAGGGGATCAGAGGAAGACAGAGAGAAGGAAGACCAGGCGACCCTGGGGAGGTTCTGGCGGGGAAAGTGTGTTGTTAGTCACCTGGGCTTCAGTGATGGTTTTTAACCAGTATATACGAATGTCAAAACCTGTCACATTTCATACTTTCAATATGTGCTGTACCTCAATAAAGCTGTTTAAAAAGCCTTCTGTTAAAGGGAGAGCGAGAGAGAAGGAATGACGTGACGATCGTGACTGAGTCACGACTTGCTATTTGGGGAGGGTCGGGTGGGATCGCCCCCGCTCCGCGCCCTCTGTGCGGGGCAGCATGTGACTGAACAACAGAATGCCGGGTCACACGCTCACCTTCCCGAAGAGGTGCGACACCACCATGTCTGGAAGGGCTTGGGTCCATCCGGAGATCTGGGAGGACAGAAGCAAGCGAGATTAGATTGCAGGTGTTCACAGCAGCCAGACAGGGTCAGCAAACCCCACTGCCCTGGGGCGGAGCAGCGGCATGGGCTCCCCCACATCCAAGTCAGGGGTCACACCCGTGATGGAAGGTGGTCACCTGTCTCTAGTTACCTATGGGGCCTGGAGCCCTGGAAGGAGCGGCCTGACCCTCCATCAGCTCCTTACTCTCAGAACCCAGGGCACAGGAGATGAGGGGAAAACATGTCTGAACAAAGATCTCACATGTTCCCAGCTTTCACCAGGCCACAGCTCACCAAGTCCTCAGCAAGGGGTGGCGGGGTGTGTGGGGTAGGGTGTTGTCTGTTGCTTCCAAACACACGCTGAGTTGCTGATCTATACAACAGGATCTGTTTACACCCAACTATCCTTTCGGTGTCATCCTCCAGATTTTCCCCTCTCAGGCTAGTTTCCTCTCTGAACATTCTGACCTTCTCTTCTCTACCTGCTCCCACTGACAAAGCTAGGTATACAGTAGGAGTTCCATAAATGCTAGGCATACAGCAAGAGCTCCATAAATGCTAGGTATACAGTAGGCACTCCATAAATGCTGGGCATACAGCATTTATGGAGCTGTAGATACAGCTAGGTATAAATGCTAAGTATACAGTAGGAGCTCCATAAATGTGTGTTGACCAACTTCAGTGTCAGGCAGGAACCGGTAGGGGAGAGAACCTGTAGACCTGGGTGTTCTCTTAGCTGTGTGACCCTGAGTTTGGGGGCATGTCACAGAGCCGCTGGGCCTCAGACCTCTCATCATCACCAGCTCAGAGTCACGAGGCCAAGGCCAGGGTTACATGAGACAGCTACACATGTCCCAGGATCTGACCCCAGTGTCTGACACACACTAGACCCCCAAGCTGCAGCTGAGAAGGAAAGATCAGTGCAAACAGCAAAACCCACAAACAGCGCTCCAGCCCACATCAGCCAACGGTCAACGGCCCAGCCCCACGTCTGGCACAGGACAGCTACCAAGAAGCCAAACCGGCCCACTGAGTGTCACTCCCTTGTTGGAAAACAAAATAAAAAACAGGGAGTGTGTTCCGCTCCTGAATATCATGCCGGCAGGAGGAAAGGGCTCCCGTGTCCTGGCAGAATGTTCCAGGAAGAAATAAAATATCAGAGTGGCCAGGGTGGGGTGGGAGGTGTGCGGAGGGGCACGACCCCTTCACACTCCCTGTCCCTGACGGCCACCCCAACCTTGGCAAAAACACACTTTCCAAATGAGAAGCCAGGATAACCCCGGCTTGAAAGTCTTTGTCCTGTTTCCATTGGAATGGTTTCCCCTTCTCCTTGGCAAATACTGGGGCCTTTTTGAAAAAAACAATAATCATTTTTAAAAGATAAACAAGGAACCCAGCCAGAGCCGAGCTTCCCGAGACAGCGAGGGCCCTTTCCTGGGCAGGGATGTGCCCTGTTGTCTTTGCATTCTCTGCCCTGTGGAGCTTGGCTCCTGGCGGGCACCTGACACCTGCTGATGGAGGCGGGGCCCGCAGTGAGCCCATCTTGGAGGTGATCCCAGGACCGCAGCGTCCAAGGGGTCCTGCCCAGCCCCAGTTCTCTCACTGCCCGGCTCTGTGCAACCCTGGACAATATCCTAACCCTGCACACCTGTTTCCTCCTCCATAAAATGGTCATAACAATCCCTACTCCTGGGGTGACTGAAGATGGAATGAGGTCATGCCACGGAGCATAGAAAGAAAACCTGATAAATACTCAACACATGTTAGCTAATTATTATTGGCATAAAACTAAGTGGTATAAAATTAGTACCAAATACACATTTTTTTAAAATTAATCATATGTGGGTGACTGGGATGACAGACATTTGTCTTGTTCGTCTTTTTAGTCTCAGCATCTTGATATAAACCCAACATATGCTAGATCCCCAGTAGATACATCTTAACCCAGGCTTCTCCTTATCAAAGCTGGCTGGAGACCCACATCCCACTGGTATCACTGACTTGGACAGCAGTGTCTTGTTGAAATCCGAATGGCACATGGCTGAGGTCATGCTCACTATTCAAAGCCCAGCAGAGGAAAGCTGCCTTCTTTGCTGGGGGCGGTGGAGGGCTGGGGTGTGGAGAGATCCCTTGCAGTCTGTCCTCCAGGCAGAGTCGGGCACGCCTGTCCCTCTGCAGGGTGGGATACCCCCGGCTGACCCAGGCCCCCAGGCTCACCTTGGAAGCCGCCCAGTCCATCCAGCCTTCCGCACACGGGTTCACGTTGATGAGCACAAGGCCCTCCACCATCTCGGGGTTGTTGAGCTGCAATTCAAGGCACGAAGTGAGAGAGACAACCCAGCCAGGGGAGAGACTGTGAACTTTAAAATCAAACTAAAGACAGAGAAAAGTCAAGAGGACTGATGCTCTGGATGTGCCCCCCCACTTCCAAAACTGAGGTTCCAGCCTAGTAGACACTACATAGGACTTCTAAAAGAGTGGAAAGAGGAAACCGTAGGAGAAGCAGAAGCACATATGCTTGGCAGACCTGCCTGGGACAAGTCACTTCACTCTGCTGCCCCTCAGCTTCCCCAGCTGTGAAATGGGTACACCACACCATGGACTTCATAAATCAGACAAAGTAATCGGCTCTTCAGTAATCAGTAAGAATCCTCTTGCTTCTCAGAGATACGGAGATAGAAATCTAAGATACAGTTGTGACTGTATTTTATGGGCTTAGAGTATAGACAGCCAGATCATTTTGTATTCATGCTAGCATCCCTAACCTCTACAAAGTTCAGCAAATAATAGGCCGTCAGGTTACATATGGCTGAATAAAATGAGCATCACTGCATTTTGGGAAACAACTGTATGGTGAGGATACAGAGGACCTGATAGCGCCTGATGCGGACCCCTAGTAATGTCAGTGACATCCATTATGCTAACATGTGCATCTCTGATTAGTTAAGCATCAGTCAGAGTTCAAGACTTTCCTGACTACAAAACCTGTGCAGCTGTCACAAAGAAGCACCATAACAGAACACTCGGTGATGCGAGGACCTGGCCACGGTCAGGACGATGATAAAAGAATCATCGTGCGGCATTTCAGTGAAGGGGAAAGAGCCACAGCCATGTCCTAGGGGCATGGCCCTCACATGCCATGGGCATACATAACTCTGGACCACAGCGCCCACCCCCCCCCCCATGTGAACTGTGGTTCTCCCTTGGGAAATGGAATTACGGTTCATTTCTTTTTCCCTTTTGTGATCTTTCTATTTGCTGCTTTTCCAAGTTTCTGCCTTACTCTTGAATTAATTTTATTTAAAACATATTTTTTAAAAAATTTCTTTTTAACCAACAAGGACCTACTGTACAGCACATGGAACTCTGCCCAACACTATAGGGCAGCCTGGATGGGAGGGGAGTTTGGGGGAGAAAGGATACATGTGTGTTTGGCTGAGTCCCTTCACTCTTCACCTGAAACTATTACAACATTGTTAATCGGCTATACTGCAGTAGGGGCTTCCCGAGTGGTTCAGATGGTAAAGAATCTGCCTGCAATGTGGGAAGATCCCTGGAGAAGGGAACGGCTACCCACTCCAATATTCTTGCCTGGAAAATCCCTGGACAGAGGAGCTCTGGGGGAAGGGTGGCTGTAGTCCATGATATGGCAAAGGGTAGGGCACGACTGAGCAACTAACACACTATACTCCGATACAGAACAGAAAGCTGAAACAAAACAACTCACAGCAAATCGAGTGAGGATGTAGGCACCTGCTCCAGTTCCCATTCCAATGATGCTCTTCAGCCTAGAAGCAGAAATAAAAATTCACATTCAGATGGGGGAGCGATGGGAGGACGTGCAACCCTCGCCCCCTGCCCTGAGGAGCCCCGTTCCCCCAGCGTCTGTCCTGGGCATCCCTGAGGGTGGCTGGCACCACGCCGCCTTACATGCCCTGGAGGACCTGCGATGCCACGTGCTCTGTGGCCCCATAGAAGACCACGACCTTGGGAAGACTGCTCCTTTCCCCTCACTCCGCTCCTGACCACGGCCAGGCTCGGACAGCCCGATGGTCATTTACGGGAAGGCCCAGTCCCTGGACTGCCTCTTCCCGCCCTTCAGCTGCATTTGGGATTCTAAGATTTGGAAGGCAAGTGAGCTGGGCAAGAACTCTGAGGCGTTATCATCACATGAAAGGCTCAAGGAAGAAGGAAATGAGCACTGAAGAAATAAGGGCCTGGAGGGGGACGTGGAGGGCTCAGGCAACCCGTTCCAGAACATTCCACAGGAAAGAAAAAGCAGTAAGGGAAGAGAGGTGAGGAAAGGGTGAGTCGGGTGGCTGCCATCATGGGGTAGATTCACTCAAGGGGAAGAGCCCGACTTGCAAGAAGCACATTGGAGTAAAGAGACTGTGAGAAAGACACTGTCTGCAGAGTGTGACAGCTGGTTTCTTCCCTATCTTTAAACATTCACCTAGATTTCAGGCCAGATGAAGGCCCCGGGAGAGGCAGAAGCTAGAGGTCACCTTGCTCTGCGAGCTCTTACCCAAACTGCTGCAGGACTCCAGGGAGCATCTCAGCCAACTGGTCCATGGAGGGATACATGTACCTTGGGAGAAGGCACACAGAGGCAGTTAGCGAGAGCTCGGACCCCGGCAGAAATAAACAATGCAAACTGGAACACGCTTGAAGGGCAGGGACGGTGTGACAACCTGCCTCGTGCACCCAGACTCTTCAGTCTAGTCCCCTTGCGGCCCCTATTCCAGGCACCCCCGAAGTGTACACAGCCTGTTCCTCTGAGCAAGGATGCGCTCCATCCTAATCCCCCCAAACCCTCTACTTTGTAAAGTGGCCCTTTAAAAACTGCTTCCTATGTCCCAGGTCCCACACCGAGCATTAGATGAGCGTTGTAAACTCATTAGGGCTTCCCAGGTGGCGCGTTGCTAAAGAATCCCACCTGCCAATGCAGGAGACGTAAGAGATGCAGGTTTGATCCCTGAGTCAGGAAGACCCCCTGGAGTAGGAAAAAGGCAACCCACTCCAGTATTCTTGCCTGGAAAATTCCATGAGCAGAGGAGCCTGGTGGGCTACAGTCTACGGGGTCACAAAGAGTCAGACACGACTGAATGACTGACCACAACACATAGGCTCATTTAATCTTCACAACAAACCTCTAAGGTTGCTATGATTTCCCTCGTATAAAGATTATAAATATCACTGAAGCTAAGAGAAAAGTGACTTGGTTTCGTAGACGAACGGGGACTTGGATCTCTTCGGATTTCAAAGGAGGTCCCCTGGCAGCCCTGCCAGGAAGTGTTCCTGATCTTAGGGAAACCTCTCTCTTATCTCCTCTCCCCAAGAGATGCCAGGGACACAAGGTGGAGAACGCAAATGACCCTGATGGGGTGGACACAGTGGGCTAATTCAGTTTCAAGAAGGGAGACCTAGGGGAGTTTAAGGCACAGAGATGCCTCAATTCACACGTCCTCTGGGACCACAAATTTTGTTAACAGAGGGCTACAGGAGCTCCCCTCTGTTCAAAACTGGCCCACGACAGCAGGTACGGTGGAGGGTAACGGTGTGAAGGCTCACACTGGGGCGGTTAGAGAGCCTGCTCCAATACTTTGGCCACCTGATGCAAAGAGCCGACTCATTGGAAAAGACCCTTATGATGGGAAAAATTGAGGGCAAGAGGAGAAGGGGGCGACAGAGGAAGAGATGGTTGGACGGCATCACCGACTCGATGGACATGAGTTTGAGCAAACTCCGGGAGACAGTGGAGGACAGGAGAACCTGGGTCTGACTTTATGGCGTCCCCTTTGCCAGATGCAGGAAACAATAGAGGCTCCCATCATCAGCTCCTTAGCAGGGCCCAGAAGGGGTCTCTTGTTCCCACTACACTCGCCTTTCCAACGGGGACATGAGTGGTCCAACCCCTGGTCCCACACGGAGCCACTTCCTGGCCTGGCTCCTTCCTCTCAACCAGCAGCAACCCTGCCCACCACGTCACCCTGAACCCAGGTTCTCCTTCCAATTATCTCTCATTTCTAGGCTGGCTCTGCCTCTCCAGAGCGCTGTGCCCACACTTATTCATGAGGCCCCCACATGTAAGAAGCTGACTCTAGAGGCGGGAGGGCCGGCCAGGGGCCCCCATCGCTGCTTTGCCAGCTCAGCCTCAGAACAAAGGGTGTGTACTCTGGAGGGCCGACGAGACCCCCAACCACAGGAGGCAGAAAGGAGTCAGACCCACCCCGCCTACCATCAAGCCAAAGGCTAGAATCGCATGGTAACTTTGGGGAACAAAGACCCTGCACCTTAACCTCTAGGTCAACTGAATAAAAATTCCTGGGAGTGGAGTCTAGGTTTCAGAATATTTTTAAAATCTCTCCATTGGGAGCTAAGAGCCACTGGGCTACCCTAAGTCTTTCAAACAATTTGGCCAGCAAAGATGGATATGCTGATGGACCTTTGTCTTCATCTGCTGCTGTATTAAGAAGTTTATAACGTGTATGTTATACCTCCGGGTGTCCCTTTCTTTCCTCTCTGAGAAAGACTAATGATTAGGATAAATCAGTGGATACATGTATATGTAGGGCTAAGTATCTTCGCTGTCCACCTGAATCTATCACAACATTGTTAATCAGCTATGTGCTGTGCTTAGTCGCTCGGTCGTGTCAGACTCTTTGCGACCCAATGGACTGTAGCCCACCAGGCTGCTCTGTCCATGGGGATTCTCCAGGCAAGGATACTGAAGTGGGTTGCCATGCCCTCCTCCAGGGGATCTTCCCAATCCAGGGATCGAACACAGGTCTCCTGCATTGCAGGCAGATTTTTTTACCAACTGAGCCACCAGGGAAGCCCTATAATCTGCTATACCCCAGAACAAAATACACAGTTTAGAATAAAATAGAATAATTTGAAACAGAATATACATAAATGTATAACTGAATCACTGTGTTGTACACCTGAAACTAAGTCGCTCAGTTGTGTCTGACTCTCTGGGGCTGCATGGACTGTAGCCCACCAGGTTCCTCTGGCCATGGGATTCTCCAGGCAAGAATACTAGAGTGGGTAGCCATTCCCTTCTCCAGGGGCTCCTTCCAGCCCAGGAATCGAACCCGGGTCTCCTGCAATATAGGCAGAATCTTTACCATCTAAGCCACCAGGGAAGCCCCAACACAATACCGTAAATCAACTATGCTTAGTTGCCCAATCGTTTCCAACTCTTTGAGACCCCATGGACTGTAGCTCGCCAGGCTCCTATATCCGTGGGATTTCCCAGGCAAGAATACCAGAGGAGGTTGCCACTTCCTTCTCCGAGATCTCATTGAACCAGGGATCGAACTCGCATCTTTAGCATCTCTTGCACTGGCAGGCAGATTCACTAACACTGTGCCACCTGAGAAGCCCTGCAAATCAACTATACTCCAACAATTTTTTTTTCAGTTAAAAAAAAAAGAAAGAAAAGGATAATTCAGAATACTAACCAAAAAAGGAGATCTCTTTGTGGAGACCAAGAAGGCCTCTTCTGGGAGACTTTAAATCACACCATGGCAGGATTCTGCCTCCCCTGTGTGACCCTGACTGTCCAGCACATTCACTAAGCCTGGCCTCAGTCTCACAGCCAGAATTGAGAGGCCATGCCAGTCACACACCGCAGAGAAGCAGGAAGTTCACACCCGGGAACAAGGCAGCCTGATGTTCCAAAGAGGGGATGAGCTTTAGATTCAGTAGGCTGGGCGCAAACCCGGTCACCCCCCTCCTCCGGTTAAACTAGCCGCACAGCCTTGAGCAAGGCAGTCAACATCTTCATGCCTCAGTTTCTCCATCTAGAGAATTGCGCTACCAGCCCCAGTTATATGAGGATTAAACGCAAATAACATTTGCAAATAAAGATGATTAAGCCTGGTCACAGGACGTACTTCATCAATATTACTTTCAACGACGATCTCTCTTTTTCTGCCCAACTTTCTAGATCATTCTCCTAACCATTTCATCTTGTCAAGAACCTCTCCCACTTCAGTCCTGTCTAGGCCACAAAAACCTATTAAAAAGTCAGCCTAAATGGGCTGCTGTTGAGACCAGGGGACAGGGTGTCCAGAGGGGCGGGGGATGGGGAGTTAGTGCATGATGCTTGTGGGGCTTCAGTTTAGGCTCATGAAAGAGTCCTGGAGATGATGGTGGTGACAGCTGTACCACAATGTGAATGTACTTAATGTCAATACACTGAAAAATGGTTAAGCATGGTAAAATGTAAGTTATATACATTTTATCATAATAAAACAGAAAAAAGTTAAAAACCAACCTAAGGCCTCCCCCCACCGCCTGTTTCCACTCTGCACGGCTTTCCTGCCCAAGGCTCCCTGGTCTTACCCCGTGGGGAAGGATGCAGCGCCATCCTGCTGGCCGGGGGCGTCCACGTGGCAGACGGCAAAGTGCTGGGTGATCTCCTGCATGTCCTCGGAGTTGAAGAGAGGGTTGTAGCAGGTTTTGTCTGGAGAAGAGGCAGGTAAGAGGGCAGAGGAAGAAGTCAGGAGAGAACGAAGTCTGTGTCCATTCTGTCTATTTCACGGCTGCACAGCAGTCGGAAGGAACTTTCAAGAATGGTCACCTTTTCTTTCCCACTGTCCTCTGCTGATATAAGGCAAGAAGCCCAGGCACCACGGTGAAGAGTATCCCTGCTCTCTGCAACTAGAGAAAGCCTGCACAGAGCAATGAAGACCCAGCGGAGCCAAGAAATAAAATTTTAAAAAAAGGACTTAGCATGGGATCTGGTACAGATGGTTATGGTTATGGGGGATATGGTTATTACATGTCGGAAAAGAAGAGATTGATAAAAGAGGAATGAGAGTGAAGGAGAAAAACAATTTTTAGTGACTGACATCATTCCTAGCCTCAAGGTATTAAGAAGCTATAGGGAAAAAAATGTCACTCGGGCAGTCTGCTGATCAAGAATTGAGCAAACACCCAGCTTGCAATACATACTAGACTAGGAAGGCCTATAAGTTCCTTCCTAACCGTCAGTACCATTTCTGCTTTCTGTAACTGTAATATTAAGGTGATCTTATTCCAGGCCCCCTCCATCAGTAAAAAGCCCAACTTTGGTGACACTTACTGGTAATCCTAAGAATTCAGTCTAAACATTCACAGCAGCAGCATGCAGAATAGTCAAAAGGTGGGAGCAGGGCAAATGCCCAACAGCTGAGAATAGATAAGTAATCTGTGACGGGTCTACACCTCAGGGTCTCATTCAGAGAACAGAGTACTAATACATGGTACAATGTGGACAAATTACAAAAAAAGCCAGTCAGGAAGACCACATTTTGTGTGATTCCACTGATAAAAAAATGTCCAAAATAGGCAGATCTTAGAGACAGAAGGTAGACTAGTGGTGGCCAGGGGCTGGAGGGTATGAGAGATTGGGAGAGACAGTGAGGGTGAAGTCGCTCAGTCGTATCCGACTCTGCGACCCCATGGACCGTAGCCCACCAGGCTCCTCAGTCCGTGGGATTTTCCAGGCAAGAATACTGGAGTGGCTTGCCATTTCCTGCTCCAGGGGATCTTTCTGACCCAGGGACTGAACTCGGGTCTTCCGCATTGTTGGCAGATGCTTTACCCTCTGAACCACCAGGGTGATAGATAAAAAGGACAGGCTTCCCTGGGGGCTCAGACAGTAAAAAACTTGCCTGCAATGCGGGAGACCTGGGTTCAACCCCTGAGTCAGGAAGATCCCCTGGAGAAGAGAATGGCTACCCACTCCAGTATTTTTGCCTGGAGAATTCCATGGACAGAGGCTACAGTCCATGAGGTTGCAAAGAGTCGGACATGACTGAACAACTAACACTTTCACTTCACTTTTCAAAAATGCTCTGAAATGGATTGTGTTGGTGGTTGCACAATGCTGTGAAAATACTAAAATCCACTGCATGCTTTCATTTTTTTTTTTTTAAATCCACTGCATGCTTTCATTAAAAGCAGTCACATGGACTGACGGCGGAGGGCTCCTGAGTCACCAGCCTCTCCATGCCCCTCAGGCAGCGCGCTCCAGGCCTGTCCAGTCTGTAGCAAGAGTTCCTCCCAGAACATCTCCAGGAAGTCCCCTGCATGCTAAGTTGCTTCAGTCGTGTCCAACTCTTTGGGACCTCATGGACTATAGTCCATCAGGCTCCTTTGTCTATGTGATTCTCCAGGCAAGAATACTGGAGTGGGTTGCTATTTCTTGCTCCAGGGAATCTTCCCAACCCACGGAAGGAACCTACATCTCAATAGGTCTCCTGCATTGGAAGGTGGGTTCTTTGTCACTAGCACCACCCGTAGCAAGAGTTCTTCCCAGAACAGCTCCAGGAAGTCCCAGCAAAAGAGAAGGAGCTGGAGCCCCCCCACCTGCTCTTCCTAGCTGACTGTGTCCCCCAGCCCTAGTGGGAACTGGCTCACCCAGAACTGCTTGGAACTTACGGTTCATCCCAATGTCATGGTAGGTAAGGATGACAGGCCGGTTCCCCTTGGGGGTCCCACACAGCGTGACATGCATGGAGCCATGCAAAGTCTCGATGTCCTGCTCCTGGGGAGAGAGCAGAGAGGCCTGTCACGTGGGAGTCGAAGGCACCGCGTGGCTGGAATTACTGCCTGCAGACACCCAGCGTGTGCCCCTGTGGTTTGCAGAAGCTTCTCATTTGGTCCTGGGCTTTGAGTGGCAGGTATCTCTGGTCAGAGAAGTCACTTGTAGAAGCATAGATGGATGGGGGGAACCACGGAAACTCACCCCTCCCATTCCTTGCGGTCAGTGTTTGCCAATCTGAAGATCTTGATGCAAAAATAAAGAAATACACCCCAATTCTCAGGTTCCACCTCGAGAGTGGAAAAGCTCATTATCTGTGCTTTTAACAAAAACCCTCTCCCTTCTCCATCCCTGGCTGAGTGATGCAAGGACTCACAGGCTTCCGCTTTGAAGATGCCTGAGCATCTCCCGGGCTGTACCCTGCTTCTGTGAAATGGGAGGAATAACAGAGCCTCCTAAGAAGGAGTGAGTGCTTCATAGGGGATGGTACTCAGTCCATCAGGCTCCCTCCTAGTGCCCAGGCCTGCCCCCAGCACAGGGGTCCCAGCTTTATGCACCCCCAAAGTGAGTCCCCCATTTCCCCAGCCCTCTCTTCCTCTAAGTGCCTGCACTACAAGCCCTGGAAAAATCCACAGAGGATGCAGTATGGTCCAGCCCCCAGTGGGGGCCACAGGTCATCTGCCAGGCCCAGCCCTGGCTCTAAAGCCATGGTGGGAACAATGGTTCATTGTGGGGGCCGCATTCTCCATTGTCTCTTCAGCTGACCCACATGGCGCCCTCTAAAAATAGGCCAGGCCGGGCAGTGTCCCCACTGGCTTGGGGCATCAGGGTTCAAACCCAAGCTCGGCCTTTTCCCAAGCCCTCTGAGACCCCGGAGATCCATCTGTAAGACGGGAGGGAGCTGACCACCCTGGGTTCCTCAGCAGAGGAGATAACCTTGGACAGGGAAACAGCACCAGGTGGGAGGGGGCTGTCCCGGACACAGGGCAGAGGAGTTAATGTCCTCTTGTCGAATCTTCTCCAGGGGCACACACCTGCTTCTTAGCCACCTCCCCAAATGGACTGGGGATTTCCGGGGAGAAAGGGTGACTCTGTCCTGGACAGGGTCTGGCCTGGAGGAGGCACTTAGAGATTTATGCAAAGGAGGTCAAACCAGTCAATTCTAAAGAAAATCAACCCTGAGTATTCACTGGAAGGACTGATGCTGAATCCGAAGCTCCAATACTTTGACCACCTGATGCAAAGAGTTGACACACTGGAAAAGACCCTGATGCTGGGAAAGAGTGAGGCTGGGGAAGGCAGGAGGAGAAGAGGGCGACAGAGGATGAGATGGTTGGATGGCATCACCGACTCAATGGACATGAGTTTGAGCAAGCTCCAGGAGATAATGCAGGACAGGGAAGCCTGACGTGCTGCAGTCCATGAGGTCCCAAAGAGTCAGGCATGACTGAGCGACTGAACTGAACTGTAGACAAGGGTGGTCAGAAGATTCAGTTCTGGCTAACGAGGTGGCAGCAGAAGTTTCTGGAGCTTTGAGGAGAATTTTTTTTTAAAGAATCAGACTTGGCCTTTTGAGTTTTTCCCTTCACCCATCTACCTGCTTACTACTTGGAACACGGATGTGATGCTTGGGGATTCAGCAGCCATCTTATGAGCATGCGCACAAAAGCTCCACGCTCAGGATGACAGAGCAGGAAGCTGGAAGAAGTCTTAGACTGGGTGACATTTATAGTCTGCTGTACTAGTCCCTCTGGGTCAGCAAAAATATCAAACATTATCCTCTTTAGGGCAGGGTGTTGGATGATATTAATTCCAATGTTACACTCACCCTGTGACCCTGGCCAAGTTACCAGACTTCTCTGAGAACTCCTTCCATCAGCCATAAACTGAAGTCAATAACAAACCCATCTGCTTATGGAGATGCTCCTAAGACTAAAACCGTGGTAGGGACTGGAAATTGCAATGTCTCCCTGCAGGCCGGCTGTTTCAGTTGCCTCCCCAGAGACAATTACTGTCGAGCTACAAAGACCAGCTCCCAGGGTTTAAATCAACTGGCTAGATGATCCAGGAGAGCTCTGAGATCTGCTGCCACCACCTCCCCCCATAATCTGCCTGCTCAGCAGGCCCTGGGGAGATGCTGAGCGCTCTGGACTTTAAGAGGATGACATACTTACCCAGGCTCTAAGTCAGCTGGTGCGCTGGGCTGCCCCTCCCCTCAGCCTAGCAAGCCTCGGTCAAGGCATGGCCTGCGAATGGAGGGCACCCTTGGGACAACAGGCAAAGAAAGCTGGTTGGGGGCTCATAAGATACAGCATTAAGTCACGGCTTGTTGAGGCAAGCAAGCCAGATCATGAGAACAGAGGCTCAGGATAAAATGCCAAGGGCTGGCCCCACCATCATCTTTTTGTGAAATAAGGTACTCTCCCCCCATCTTCCCAGTCCCCTGCCTGGGCGCACAGTGGGGAAGGGTGGGCCTGGCTGAGCCACTGATCTCGCCCTGCCCACTGGGAAAGGAGCACGTGAGTTATGAAGACTGACGGGGAGGGGTGCGTTGTGGAAGGAACAAAATTGTATTTGCACAGAAGGACACCATCCGCTCCTGGGAAAGTTCTAAAAAGCCGGGTCTGAACCCTGTGCTCCAAGGACAGCTGTTTCACAGAGGACAAAGCCAGTCCCAGGGGCTGAAGCCTAGCACCCAAAGGTACGCAGCTGCCAGTCACTGACTGATGATTCCCAACAGACCCCTGGGCCTCTAAGTCCTGATCTCTGGCCCACTGGGACATCTAAAAGAGAAGGAGATCTCACAGAGGTCATGGTCCCTCCATTTCTCAACTTTCTTCAATGTTGTCATCACATCGAGAAACAGTCAAGAAATTACATCAGGAAATGATCTGCAGTGGATGAAAGGGTGACAGCCTGGGAATTCAGTGGGGGATGCCAAGGAGGACAGCCTCTCTTGGATTACAGAAAGAGGAAGAGGGGAAGGAGGGCCATCCATGGAGCAGAGGGAGGCAAGGAGGCCCGAGGGACTTCCCTGAGGGTCCAGTGGATAAGAATCTGCCTGCCAAAGCACAGGACGAGCGTTTGACCTAGTCCTGGAGGATCCTACATGCTACGGGACAGAGAAGCCCATGAGCCAAAACTACAGACACCTACAAGGAAGGGTAGCCCCTGCTTGCCTCAATTAGAGAAAGCCTGCATGTAGCAATGAAGACCTAGTGCAACCAAAAAGAAATGATCAGTTTAGTTCAGTTGCTCAGTCGTGTCTGACTCTCTGCAACATCCCATGGACAGCAGCATGCCAGGCTTCCCTGTCCATCACCAACTCCTGGAGCTTACTCAAACTCATGTCCATGCAGTCGGTGATGCCAGCCAACCAAATCATACATAAGACAAAAAAAGATTCTAATACATCTCCTTTCAAAAACTTTTATAATTTAACAGAATCCTTGGAGTTTGGTCTTGGACATTAGTCTGCCTTCTCTCCAGATTGCTGGTCTCCTGAATAAAGCAACCTTTTCTTTCTAACCACCCCTTGTCTCTCAAGGATTGGCTTTTGAATGGCAAACAGCCAAACACAGGGTGCTGAACCTGTGTTCAGTAAGAGTATCACAGCAGATTTTTAAAAACTGATTTCCTGTTGCTCTCCTACACTCCCCAATATGCAGAAGTTAGAAACATTAAAAAAAAAAAAAAAAGCTTATATAGTCACTAAAAAAAAAAAGACTCTAATACGTTTTTTTTTAAAAAAGAAAGGAGGCGGGCATGCTGAGTCTGAAGCAGTGACAGAGTGTGACAGTCATAACACCTCTTTCTGCCCCCGTTGTTACAGATTAGAAGACTGAGCCCCGAGGAGGTCAGGTGATGGGCTGAAGACACGGGGCTAGCAGAGGCAGAGCTGACCCGCACCCGCTCTGTCCAGGACACCTGTTTATTCCTCAGGACCAGGAGATGGGTGTATACATGAGGTCAGTCTGATGGCCTGGGCTATGGGCTGGACAGACCTGGTGAGCTGATCGGAGCCCCACCACGGGACTGCTGGAGGGCGAGGTGCTCCCGACCCCTCCATCAGGACAGCGTTCCCAGGAAACCCGGGAGGAGGGCAGAGGGGTTAAGCCTCACTTGGCGCTGACCCAGATGCGTGCCACTGCCATCTGTCACGCTCAGTCTCAGCGGCTTCCTCGGAAGTGAGGCTGGGGGCGGGCAGGGATGGGAAACGGTGGGTTGAGGATTTCCAAGCCTCTGAGTTCTGCCCACCTCCAGTCAGGGGGCAGGAAAACAAGAAGCAATTGTGTGCAAAGAAAGACATTTGTAAAAGGTCACTGTTTCCATTTTCCCTGTGAGTTGATCTGCTTCCAAGAGTTGGGGGTGGGGGGGTGGAAATCAACGCCCCTACAGGCGGCAATCAGACATTCCCCCCTCTGCAGGCCCAGCTCCACCAGACTGGGAGCCTCAGGAGACCCTCCAGCCTGCCACCCCTCCTGCCCAGCCCCTTCCATCTCCATCCACAGGCTCTGTGGGTAACATCAGCTCATTGCCCAGAGATCCCTGGTGAGCACAGAAACACAGATTCCCATGGAAACCACATCAAATCAAACCATCCAAATAACTAAAGATCCAGGTGGAAGGAATTACAAAGAGCAAATCCACCAAGAGGGGCCAAAGGAAGTGACCCAGCCCCGGGGCGGGGGGAGCTTCCAGCAGTGAGCTGAGATCTCCTGCCCCCACCAGCTCCAGGGACTGAGTCAAGCTTTGCCGTCTAGCTCATCATTGTATGGCCCTGGGCAAATCCCTTACACTGTCTCTGACCTTGTCCCTTCAATGAGGATGCCAACAATTTGTTTTAGGGTTAAGTGAGATGACGCAGGAAAAGAGGTCAGCACAGTGTATGACATATAGCTAGTGCTCGAGACATCAGCTCTTACAGCGCCCAAATAGACAGATGGACCACCTTTAGGACTATCTCAGTAATACCCTCCGACCACTTTCTTAACATCTCCGAA